ATTAAGTCCTTTTTATTCTATTTAAAAAATTTAATTTTATAATATAATATGACATGAAGTGTAATTTATATATTTTATAATTATTGATAAAAATAAATTATCTTAATATTAAAAAATATATCTCTCTAATTATATTAGATTATAAAATGATAACTCTTAAATTAAGTAAAAACTTCCTAATACTAAACTCTGTTTTTTTATTTAAAAATTTTAATTTTATAATTTAATATAATATAAATAATAAAATAAATTTAACACGTAATGATTTACTGATTATTCTAATAAAAAAATATTTAAACACCTAAAATCTAAATTTTATACCAAGATACGTTTCTGTAAAATTCCCTACCATCAAAAGAAAAAAAAAATAGTAAAATAAAACCCTTAAAAATTTTACTAGCCATAGCATTTCTCACGGGTCACCGAACCCTCACTTCCGAAGTTAATAATTGAAGCACGTGTAACTGTTTAAGCTCAAATTATGATAATGTCCTAAATATTAGAAACCGACAAAGCAATCATGGCCGTCCATCCATCAAGCTCATCGTCTTTTGTCCTTTCCTTAAGTGGGACTGTGGGAGGAGCAGTCGTACTACTCAGGAGTAGAAGTTAGAAATCTACACATAAATTTTTGAGCGGTATTATAAGAATAATATTTTAATTATTTTTTTATATAATTTTTATATATTATTAAATAAATTGATATATTTAATATTATAAATTTTATATAAATTAAAAAAATTAATTATTTGAATAACTCGTTAAGTTGTAAAAAAAATAAAATAAAAAATTATACAAAAATCATTTCCTCAAATTTTTGCTTTCTTCCCCTTAAAATGCTATAGATTAACTTAATGCCATAGAAATACTATATATGTTCTGGAAATTTAAGCATAGATTAACTTCAAAATTATTTTTAAGTACCGGAATTTGAGGGATGGTGTGGCGCTCAGCGTGGCCCGAAATGCTGCGGTAATGATAAACAGAATCTAATGATATACGCAGCGGAACAAGATACAAAAACTGAAAAAAAAAAAAAAAAAGGGGTAAAAGAAAGGACTTACATAGACGTGGTAAATAAGTCGGATAAGGAAGATTTGAATTAAATCACTTTATATTTTGAATTTATTATGTTGGATTATTTTGAATTTTAAATTAAATGAGAGTAGATTCATGACTTATGCACATGTGTTTTGGATTAGAATAGGTAGATCTAACATTTTAAGCTTTTAAATTTAAAATTCTTTGAAATTTTCTCTATTTTATATAAAAAAAACTTAATACTAATTAATTATTTATTCAAAAAAATTTGTTGAATTAATATTAATTCTAATAATTAAATAAATAATTATTATTTGATGGCATTTAATTTTATTTTGTATTTAAAAATTAAAATTAAAAGTATGATTAATTAAATTTTAAATTTGAAAAAAATTAATTTATTTTAATCAAATCACTTCAACCTAACTTGATTTTACGTTGACCTAACCTAGTCAAGTCCAAGTAATTTCACTCTAAATCATGTTGGATTTGGGATTAATACTTTAGATTCATGATTTCGATTTATAACAAGTGGGGTGGAATTGGATTGAATCTTTGAATCAAATCCAATTTCCTTAGGTCTATCCTTGTACATGCTAGCCCAAGCTACGTATCAAATTAGATTTTTTTTTTTTTTTAGTTTAAAAGAAGATATCCTATATAATAAGAAAAATAATCTTTTACTTAATAATTGTCATTTACTATATAATTCATCAAATATGCTATATATATTTTTTTTTATAAAAACAGAGCCTAAATATAGTACTAGTATTTTTTTCATATATTTGGTTTACGGAGTATAATTAGTTAAGCAAGCTTTATATGAAAGGATGCATAAAAGTTGAGTTTTGTCTGATTTTAGCGAGATTGGCGTTGGCCTAGATTCACCACAAGTCTAACTAATTGCAAATTTAAGGTAATTCTTTTACGAAATATCACAATCTGACCTGGTTAGAATTACAATTTTTTTTTCGGTAATCATAGTAGAATAATATTAAAATATATTATTTTATAATTTAAATTATATCAATTTATAAAACAAGAGTTTTTTAAATGAGAGAAAGTCCTCTAATATTAAAAAGTTTACCTCTATTTAAGGAATAATATTATACAATTCGATATATATAACATTTTTTTTCATAATGTTAATACAACTTGTCTATTTTATTTATCATTACACATACTTTTAGGTGATATTTTTTTATTAAATATAAATGATAGTTTAAATTTTTTTTCTAATATATAATTTTTATTATTTATTTTATAAAAAATTTAAATTATTTTTTATAATATAAAAAATATCACCTAGAAATGAAAGTAATACAATAATATGTAAAATGTATCCAATATGGCAGCTAATGGGCAACAACAACAGAACGTGTATGGGAGGAAAGCCAAAGCAACAAATTAAAATTTTGATATAAAAGCATTTTTCACCTGTATAATTAGAATTTAAATTCTTTTTTTTTTTTAACTTTTAGGTTAAAATATCAATTTAGTCCCTAAAATTTTAAATTTGTACTAAAATTGTCCCTTAACTTTAAAAAATACCAAAATTATCCATAAACTTTAATTTCTAATACCAAAAAAATCCTTAAACTTTGAAAATAATACCAATTTAATTTTTAAACTTTGAAGACAAATATCAACTTAATCCTTGAACTTTGATTACAAATACTATTTTAGTTTTTTAACTTTAATTATATATCAATCTAGTTTACAAATAAAAATATATCACGATGGTAAAATATGGTTATTTGATTTTACATGTTATTAATATTTAAAAAACTAATTTTATGGTAAAATAATGAATTATATGACACTTCTATTAACAGAAGAACTTTTTTATATTAAAAGTTAAAATTTAGAGACAATTTTGCTATTTTTTGAAATTGAAAGACAATTGTAATATAAATCTAAAAACTGAGGGATCAAATTGACATTTTAACCTTACTTTTTATGAAGATTCCAATCAATCCTCATGTCCCCTAAAAGAAATTAGAGCGTGGAATGTGGACCCTCAAAAGATGGTGGCTACATTTTTCCGTTCAAAACAAATACAGTAATTAGATAGCGGCTACATACATTATGGTCAAGTTAAAGTCAAGTAATTTTCGTACGTACATGTCCTTTTATTTTCTCACTTTTTCCAACCGGTAGATTAAACTACAAGGACATTGGAGCTAAAAAAGTAGAAGTAAAAAATAAGTGGGGCCAGAGAATAAATTGCAGAAGCGTTGAGGATGACTATTATTGAACTAATGCAGTGCCAAAGATGGTACTAGTATGAACATGTAAGGGGGGAAATGATTAACTAATGAAAACAAGGCATCCTGAATTGACCGAAAGTCACGAGAGAAAAAACTTCTTTTTTTTTTTGTTTTTTTGAAGATCATTCTCAATCTCAAAGAGTACATTTATATTTTCAACAGGAAAAATGAAATTGAAGGGCAAACTAATAAAAATTTTAATTGAGTTGGTATTTATTATTTAAAAATATTTGATTTGAGTTAAGGTTTTGAAATTTAAATATTTGTAATGTTAAGTAATTAATTTATAAAATACTAACAAAAAGTTAAAATTAATACGTTCAATTTTAATTGTAAATAAAACTTAGGTTAAACTTACCTTATTATATATCACTTAATGTTCTAATTTTTTACATACTCTACTCTTTAAGTATCATAATTTAACTTTTAAAAATAATTTGTATAGTTTTATAATCTACGCAAAGCAAACTATTAAATAAAACCCCTAATATAGCAGCTAGTCCCATGTGAATTGTGATGGATCTAATTTTAAAGTCACTGAAAAAAACTCATAATTTTTGAAAATTTTGTTTTACAATTTAGATTATATTAGATTTTACAACACAAAAAGAGTTAATTTGAGTAGAGAAGAGTCTCCAATATTAAGAAATTTAAATTTTATCTAATAATTTTAATTACACATTTGTGTACAAAACCATTTTTTTTAACTTTTTACATGCTCCTATAATCTAACTTTTCCTTCCAAATAAGTGAAAAGGAAAAAGAAAAGAGAGGAAGTACAAGGAATATTGAGTTGACCGGAACGCATCCATCTACAACTCAGTCCAAGTGAGTGAAGGAGATTCTAAACAAAAGATGATTTCAGACTGTCCCTCCAAAAATGAGATCTTTCTAAAGAGAATCCAAAGACACTTTCACAATCTCCCTCGATTTGAATTAAATTCTAAGGCACTTTGATGATGATACATTTCCAATGATGAATGCATTAAACAATCATAAAACTTCCAAGGAGGAACAAAAATTCCCGGGAATCAGGGAGACTTTCATATGAGCTTTGTTTGTTTAAAAGGAAAATCAAGCATGCCAATGCTAGAAAATTTTGATAATGGGAAAACAAGTTGGAAGACAATTAATATATAAAATATATGCAGTAGTGGAAGAAGGTAAGACCCAACTGAGGCATGCTTTTTGGATCACTTTGAAACCAGAGAAGGGAGCGAAAGAAAAGGATGCAAATAAACTCTGGTGGGATTTCTATAGTCTTTCTCTTCTCCAACAAAAAGCTTTTGCTTTTGTACACTTCTTTTTTTTTTTTTTGTTTTCCCTCTCCACTTTTATTCTCATCCCAAATAAAGAATCCTTCATCGTATATTTAATACTCTAGTAGTTGAAAGCTTGAAAATTAAATCTTCGAATTTAAATTTTATCAAATTTGAAATGAGAAAACTTTTTCATGTAAAAATGGGAGAACATTCACTCACCCTTTGACGATAATTCAAATGTTAGAGTTCGATTTTTTTCCTCAAATCAAGTGCTTCCTTAAAAAGGTCTCAAATCTAAAAGCCTCAAGATGATGAAAAACAGACATCTAAGAAATGAGAATTAAACCTTCATTTCAAATAAAATAGAAAATGGAAAAAAGATCACGCAAAAGCAAAATTACAAGCAAAATAATGGGTTTTTCCCTCTTTTTCTTAAATATTTTTTTTTTTTTGGGTTTTCCAAAATTCATCATACAAACAAAGCAAATAATTAATTTTACATAAAATAGCGACAAACCATCCTCCTATACAATCTCTCTCACTTCCCTTTCCCTGTCAGTCACTCTGTCTGTCTGTTGGACAAGAACTAAAACTACAAACCAAACTCTTCCATACCAGCTACCCAGAAAAGGGAAAAAAAATCCAAAAAAGAGAATTTAACCTAAAATTTTAAAATAAGAGACTACCTAAAGAAACCCTTCCCTTCCCTTTCCTTTCCCTTATCAAGATGATATTCCACATTTCCACTGAATTTTCAATTTTCATGTACTCAATTCACTACAAATTCATTTTCCAAATCTAAACAAACAAACCCAACAATCTCTAGTTCCTCCTCTCTACGTAATAAAATTAAAAGATGGAAAAGAAAAGATCAAATGCGATTTCTAATATTTGAATTTAAACCCCTTTTTTTTTTTTTTACCGTTCATTGAGAACTATTTGGGTCTTCATCTCCACTGTCTGTCCCCTGAGGCTGGTGCCGATTATGGTCCAGTGGATTGTTTTGGTCGGAGTTCATGTTTGGACCGCCTCTAGAGTAGGCACTAAGCGCCGCCAGCATCCCCAAATTTGACTCCGACATCCCCAATCCTAGATGCTGCGATGGTTGCTGCTGCATTAGCATTGAACCCAATTGTAGAGGATTCCCTCTCCCGCCCTGGAATTCAATATTCCCTGGAAGATTAAACCTCGGCATGAAATGTAGAGGAGCCTGTATTGTGTTTCCGCCAGCCGGAGTTACCGTTCCGAAAGGCCACATCTGGGGTTCGGACGGGCCACGACCGGAGCCGGGTGTGGCTACGGATGGACCACCGGCCCCAGCTGTAACGGGTAGCATCCAGAATGTGCTGCCAGCTCCACTGGTCGGTGCTGGTGCCACTGCCCACATGGCTGCTCCGGGGAGAATATTTGACGGCCGAAGCATACCGGAGGAACCGGGGTCCTGTTGCGGTTTTGGTAACTGCCCTAAACCACCTTTAAATGCCTTGATAGGTGAACCGTTACCGTCACGGGCGCCGCTATTTTCGCCTTGCTGTTGATTCTCATCCTTAAATAAATCCTCTCTGAAGCGTTTCCTCAAATAATTTTCAGCTGAATCTCCGCCGCCTCGGCTAGTCTCTCCAGTGCCACTTCCACTGCCAGGTAACGCTTCCGCTATATGATCTACCGTCATCAGATGCTGTTGCTGATGGTGAAATCCCAAAAAAGCACTATGCGCGGCGAGTCCTTCTTCGTAGTGAGCATGGGGATGATGAGCTAAATTCAACGCGCTATGAAACGCGTGGGAAACTGATTTTGAAGGCGGCGCGGAGAGCGTGGATCCACTGCTCCTCATGGAGACATTGAGAGTGGAGAAATTCGCCGGGATAGTACCGGTTCCAGTGGCTGCAATTATGGCCGGCTCTGCCTGCTGTAAAAGCCACTCAACCGTCTCCCCATCGGATTTATTACCTAATTCTCTCGTCAATTGAAAAACCCTAGCGGCACAAGCAGCCGGCATTCGGATACGCCGCCCTCGGCCATCGACCTTCGTGTGCCGGTCCTTGGTGGTCCGCTTCACCGGCTGGTTATTAGCCGTCGTTGTCACGGTTGTCGTGGTGGTGGGTGTAATCGGCAAGTTGGACTGAGTCTTTTTGGTAGAATCAGTGTTCAAAGCAGTAGATCTGGTGGCAATAGCGAGAGAGGCGTCGACAGCAGCGACCGTAGAAGCGGAAGAGGTAGTAGGGGAGGAAGAAGAGAAAGGTGAAGTGGTGGTGGTGGTGGTGGTACCTGTTGAAGAAGCAGGATGAAGATGATGGATGGAGCCCATACCAAAAGGATTCTGTGAGGATGATCTGCCATCGAAACTAGGGACCACGAGGTGAGAGGAAGGAGAAGGCGACTGCCGTTGCGGCGGCGGCTTTTGGTGGTGGTGAAGGAGGTGGGATTCTGCGTTGGTATTGTTATTGTTGTTGTTGTTTGGTTTATTGGGTTGCAAATCTGCAAGTTCCATCTGGTGGGGTTTGTGGGGATTTTGAAAGGATTTTAATTTAAAATGTTTTGTTTTGGGGGTTTCAAAGGTGATGAAGGATCCATCATAGCCGTCTCTCTCTTCCCCAGCTCCTCTCCTCCTCTCTGATTCTAGAGAGAGAAAAGAAAGAGAAAGAAGTTAAATTTGTTCAGAAGGAGGACTAAGAGTTTGTGGGGTTTCTGATTGACTGTTGTCTCTGTGGGTGTGGCTTTAAGAAATATGCAGGTAGGACCATTTTGGTTTATTTAAAGTGTGAAGAGTATTGAGTACAAATGTTTCAAAAGGTTAATGCTAGCAATATTATTTTTTCAATACTTCAAAAACTATTTTGATGTTATTACATATGTTTTGAACTTTTAAATTTGAATCTAAATCAAGAACTAGATTTCAAGTTCTTTTTATGAAAAATAGAATTTTATTGATATATAATTAAAAACCATAAGGGTTATTAGATCAACTCGAATGGGGTATTACATTAGAGGTATTACACTTATACAATGTGTAAAAACATAAAATCAAATAATTTAATATCTAGTTAAGTTACATTTCAATATAATCTATTTAAACAAAAGATAAATTAATTGAAGTAGAAAAGTTTAGCTAGGACCTTGTCCTCAACAATGCGTTCAATTGTCGAAGTAAATACAACAACTGATTTAAATCCATCCAATATCGCATTCAAGTTGTCATCCTCCTCCAAAAAAAAAAAATTCTAATGAAAAATATCAAAATAACCAAGGTAGAAATTCACAAAAAAAAAAATAAAAGGATGGAGAAACCTCCACATATAAAAAATTAGAAAAACCCTCATAAAAGAGGGAGGATTCCCATCTTTTGC